TGAATGAATGCAATGGATGGAGGTTAGAATTGTTGAGTTTTAAAGGCAAGTGGGGGCTGGCCCTAATCAACAGGTTGGAAGGTGCTCCAGGTCTGGAGGTATGAAATCTCAGGGTATTTTTTAAAAACTCATAGAAAACATAGTTGAACAATAAGTTTATTTTGGTGCAAGAAATTTTTGAAGTCCATGCATAATTTTTTATAATACAGACTGCCACAAACCTTTTGAAGATCCTTCCCACACATGGATTTCCAAAAAAAATTTTTTTTTGCACCAAATGAGCTTATCTTTTAATTTAAGTTTTCCACAATATTTTTGAAGTACCTTCCAAGCTCTATGAGTTGGGGGGGAGTGGGGACACCATAAACTGAGTCATGAGGTGGAACAGAATGGAGGGAGGCCGCTGTTGCACTTCCAGAAAGGGCCTTGAGTCCAGATTTAGGAAAGTGGCCTTGGACCTGTTAGCATGGGGAGCCACAGAGGCCTCTTAGGGACCTGCAAATGTCAGTTTCAGCCTAGACCTGCACAACACCCCAAAAAGGCTATCACTGTACCTGAGGACTTCATGCCCCCAAATGGCCTACGTTATGGGTGAGGAAACAGATCCAGTGTAGCATGCAGGCAGTATTCACGTGCGAAAGCAGTCTGGCAGTATCTGGCAAAGTTCAAGATGTTGCAAACCCCACCAGTTCTCCTGCTGAGAGTATCTCAGCCCATGTGGACCAGGAGCAAACACTGTGGCCTGACTCCCAGCTGCAAGAAGCAAACACAGCCGACTATAACCATGAGATTGTGGATAAACAACTGGCACGTGCATGCCATAGAATACTACACAGTGGTGACAATGAACAGCTACTGCTCTTACAACTCAGTAACAACAGGAAAGGCAGCATGGAGTGGGGGGGATGAAAGCGTGCACTCAGAACCCAGCCTGCCAGCGATCTGAGCTCTCCAGTTGCCACCTGGGCACTACTGGGACTATTTATTTATTTATTTGAAAGACAGAGTTACAGAGGGGTAGAGGCACAGGTAGAGAGAGAGAGAAATCTTCCATCTGGTGGTTCACCCTCCAAATGGCTGCTATGGCCAGAGCTGTACCAATCTGAATCCAGGAGCCAGGAGTTTCTTCCAGCTCTCCTACATGGGTGCAGGAGCCCAAGGACTCGGGCCATCTTCCACCACCCTCCCAGGCCATAGCAGAGAGCTGGATTGGAAATGGAGCAGCCGGACATGAACTGGCACCCATATGGGATGCCAGCACTGTGGGCGGCAGCCCCACTACTGGGACATTTAACCACTGTGGGCCTTAGGTTGCTTATCTCGAAAATGGGCATGATAACAGTATGTACCTCAAAGGCTGTTTTGAGAGTTCAAATGATTATTTATTTATTTATTTGAAAGTCAGAGTTACACAGAGAGGAGAGAGGAGAGGCAGAGAGAGGTCATTTTTTTTTTTACAGGCAGAGTGGACAGTGGGAGAGAGACAGAGAGAAAGGTCTTCCTTTGCCGTTGGTTCACCCTCCAATGGCCGCCACGGCTGGCGCGCTGCGGCCGGTGCACCGCGCTGATCCGATGGCAGGAGCCAGGTGCTTTTCCTGGTCTCCCATGGGGTGCAGGGCCCAAGCACCTGGGCCATCCTCCACTGCACTCCCTGGCCACAGCAGAGAGCTGGCCTGGAAGAGGGGCAACCGGGACAGAATCCGGCACCCTGACCGGAAACTAGAACCCGGTGTGCCGGCGCCGCAAGGCGGAAGATTAGCCTAGTGAGCCGCGGCGCCGGCTGAGAGAGGTCTCTCTCACTGGTTCCCTCCCCAATTGGCCGCAATGGCCGGAGCTGCACCGATCCAAAGCCAGGAACCAGGAGCTTCATCCGGGTCTCCCATGCGGGTGCAGGGATCCAAGAACTTGGGCCATCTTCTACTGCTTTCCCAGGCCACAGCAGATAGCTGGATCGGAAGTGGAGCAGCCGGGCCTCGAACCGGTTTTTAATTTTTGATTTTTAATGCAAGGGGGTTAAAACTGTACCTGGCAAGTGCTACATGAAGGTTAAGAGAAAATAGAATGAGCCGGCGCCGCGGCTCACTAGGCTAATCCTCCGCCTTGCGGCGCCGGCACACCGGGTTCTAGTCCCGGTTGGGGCGCCGGATTCTGTCCCGGTTGCCCCTCTTCCAGGCCAGCCCTCTGCTGTGGCCAGGGAGTGCAGTGGAGGATGGCATTGGAGGGTGAACCAACGGCAAAGGAAGACCTTTCTGTCTCTCTCTCTCACTGTCCACTCTGCCTGTCAAAAAAATTAAAAAAAAAAGAGAGAGAGAAAATAGAATGTCAAGTGGGGGAGAAAATCAAGTCTTCAAAATTATTATTATTATTAGAGAGAAAGACAGCACTCCCGTGTAGGGACTGGACCAAGGAGCTTCCAGGGTTGGGGTGGGGTGGAAGCTGGGAGCTGGGAACACAATCAGGGTCTCCCATGGGAGTGGTAGGAAACCAACAACTTGAGCCATCACTGCTGCCTCCCAGGGTCTGTGTCAGCAGGAGACTGGAGTCAAGAGCCAGAGGTAAGTATTGAGCCCATGCAGTCCAATATGGGATGCAGATACCCTAACCAGGGACTTAACCTCTAGGCCTAAAACCCACCCCAACTGCCTATTTTTACAAAGTTCAGGAGCGGGCATTTGGTGTAGCAATTAAGATGCTTCTTGGGACACCTGCCTTCCAAATTGGAGTGCCTGGTGAATCCTGACTCTGCTGTCCATACCAGCTTCCTGCTAACGTGCACCCTGACAGCAGATGACGACTTAAGTAGTTGGGTCCTTCTCACCTATGTGGGAGACCCAGACTGAGTTCCTGGCTCGTGGCCTTGGCCTAACCCATCCCTGGCTGTGGCAGGAATGTAGGGAGTGAACGAGAAGATGAGAGATCGCTGTCGGCCCTTAAAATAAATAAGTAAATGTTTAAAGTAAAACAAAAATAAAAGCAAAACAATGAGGAGCCTGGGCTGTGGCGTAGTAGGTTAAGCTGACACCTGGCACACCCGCATTCCATATGTGCTCTGGTTCGATTCCTGGCTGCTCCACTTCTGGTCTGGCTCTCTGCTAATGCACCTGGGATGGCAGCGGAAGATGGCCCACACGTGGGAGACCCAGAGAAGGCTCCTAGTTCCTGGCTTCTGCTTGGCCCAGCCCTGGCCATTGTGGTCATTTAGGGAGTAAACCAGTGGATGGAAGATCTCTCTGTGTCTCTCCCTAACTCTGCCTTTTAAATAAAATGAATAAACCTTTAAAAAAAACCACCAAATACTAAATAAGATGTTGTATGTGCTATAAAGTTCCTTTCTTTTTTTTAAGATTTATTTATTTGTTTGAAAGGCAGATTTACAGAGAGGCAGAGGCAGAGAGAGAGAAGTCTTGCATCCATTGGTTCACTCCCCAGATGGCCGCAACTGGAGCCAGGCCGATCTGAAGCCAGGAGCCAGGAGCTTTTGCCAGGTCTCCCACACAGGTAGAGGGGCCCAAGTACTGGGCTATCTTGTACTGCTTTCCCAGGCCATAGCAGAGAGCTGGATCAGAAGTGGAGCAGCTGGGACTTGAACCAGCAGCCATATGGGATGCCGGTGCTTCAGGCCAGGGCTTTAACCCGCTGCGCCACAGCCCTGGCTCCATAAAGTTCCTTTATTTTAATAAAGAGCTGAGCGAAGGGGCCCGGTGCTGTGGCGTAGCAGGTAAAGCTGCCACTTGTGGTGCTGGCCTCCCATATGGGCGCCAGTTCAAGTCCTGACTGCTCCGCTTCCGATCCAGCTCCCTGCTAATGCTCCTGGGAAAGCAGTGGAAGATGGCCCAAGTGCTTGGGCCCCAGCACTCATGTGGGCAACCCGGAAGAAGCTACAGGCCTCTGGCTTCAGATCGGCCCAGCTTCGGCCGTTGCGGCATTTTGGGGAGTGAACCAGAAGATTGAAGATATCTCTCTTTCTCTCCTTCTCTATCCCTGTCTTTCAAATAAATAAATAAATGATTTTTAAAAATTAAAATATATATATATATATAAAGAGCTGAGGGACGGCGCTGGGGTGCAGTGAGTTAAGCCATAAGCTGTGACACTGGGAGCCCATGTGGGAGCACCAGTACAAATTCTGGCTGCTCCACTTCCGATCCAGCTCCCTGCTAATCCACCTAGGAAGGCAGCAGCAGACGACCCAAGTGCTTGGGCCCCTGTACCCACGTGGGAGACCTAGATGGGGTTCTGGGCTCCTGGCCTGGCCCTACCCTCACTGCTATAGCCACTTAGAGAGTGAACCAGCATATGGAAGATTCTCTCTCTCTTTCTCTCTCTCTGTCACTCTACCTTTCAAATAAATAAACAAAATAAAAACAAAAAAGGGCTGATGGGCAGAAAATAATTTGGTTGCTACAGGAGACAAGGGTAAGGGAAGTGACCTAGGGGTGTGTACCCTGTTGGCAATATCTGTGGCTCAGGATAGGAGTGGGCTCCCAGGGGCTTGCTATGGAATTAAAGGGAAAAGTCTTGGACCTGGGCCCCGGAGTCTATGGTGTTTTGGGGCAGAGGGAGGATTCCCAGCCTGATGGCTCCTCCTCGCCCCAGCCAGCCCTGCAGAAGTACTGCAGATGGCTCAGCTCCTGCTGCCAGCCAGAGAGAGGAAGCTCTGAGTTTGTTGGAGGAGGTGGGCCCCAGAGGATAAGACTGAAGGAGAAGGACCTGAGCTAGTTAAAAAAGATGGGTCTAAGCAGTCCAACAGAGGAGGGCCCGTGGGGAGGACGAGGCCAGGCCTACTGAGAGGCCCCCTGGAGGACTTGTTTCTCTTGTGGTTTTTTTGTACTTCCTGTTCCCTTGCTCACTGCGGAAGTTCCTCTTCTTACCCTGCACCCCGAGCCTAGGCGGAGAGGACAAGGACAGAAGGCACCATGAGTGGGGGCCCTGTGGGAGGCAGGCCCGGGGGTCGAGGAGCACCTGAGGTTAAGCAGAACATTCCCTCCACCCTGCTTCAGGACCACGAGAACCAGCGACTCTTCGAGATGCTTGGACGAAAATGCTGGGTGAGCTGGGGATCTCCCGGCCCTCCCTTCCTCTTCTTCCTCTCCCTCCTGCCTCCTCATCCTCCCCACCCTTTGCCTCTCCCTCTCCATCTCCCCCTCCTCCTCTGCCTCCCCATCAGCCCCTCTCCTAGAAGCCACTTTTCCACTGCTCACCCATCCCAGGAAGATCCCGAGGCCTCCTCACCTTCCTTCGGGCTGCAACTCTTCCTTCAGGCCCATGACAGGGGCACAGGAAGGCCCAGGTCTGGCTCCCCCCACGACCAGACCAGACCCACTGATCCCTGCTCTCCCTCCTAGACGCTGGCCACTGCAGTTGTTCAGCTGTACCTGGCGCTGCCCCCTGGAGCCGAGCACTGGACCAAGGAGCATTGTGGGGCTGTGTGCTTCGTGAAGGATAACCCCCAGAAGTCCTACTTCATCCGCCTTTACGGCCTTCAGGTGACCCTCCCCTCAATGGATAGGCAAACCCGACCTCAACCTGCAAAGCCAGACCTTTGCCCATACATAGCTCTGAGCCCTGGGACCAGATGAGCAAATCCCTGAACCCTAGAACTAAGGCTCCCTCCCCCAGGTCTCAAACTCTGGTTTGCCTTTTTGACTTCACAATGACTGACCCCAGAGTCTCCATATCATGGTATCTCAACCCCCAAATATTAGACCACCTCCCAGGCCCAATTGGGTCTACAAATTCTAAAAACTGACCATTTGATTTATGCCTGTACCTCAAATCTGTTCCCAGCTTGACATGTTGCATCTTAGGAAATCCTCCATCAAAACTCCTGAGCCCCAGATGTTTGCCCAGCTCCTAAGTCATAAGCCTGTTGTTGCTCAGACCCAGAACCTGAAGATTTCATTGAGTCTTGAACTTCTCAAACTCCAAATCAGTCTTTATTTATTTATTAATTTAAGTCAGAGTTACACAGAGAAGGAGAGAGAGAGAGAGAGAGAGAGAGGTCTTCCACCTGCTGGTTCACTCCCCAATTGGCAGCAATGGCCGGAGCTGCACTGATCCAAAGCCAGGAGCCTCCTCTGGGTCTCCCATGTGGGTGCAGGGGCCCAAGGACTTGGGCATCTTTTACTGCTTTCCCAGGCCATAGCAGAGAGCTGGATCAGAAATGGAGCAGCTGGGACTCGAACCGGCGCCCATATGGAATGCCGGCACTGCAGGTGGTGGCTTTACCTACTATGCCACAGCGCAGCCCCCCAAATCAGTCTTTTTAAGCCCACAGCAAGGACCCCAGAATTTCCACATTAACACTTCTGAACACCCAAATAAGGAGGTAGTGCTGCAGCAAAAAACAGACCTGTCTTATCAACCTCCAACCCAAACTTTCCAGGCTTACACCCAAATTCATCCTCCTAAATCCATAAAGATGGACCTACCATCACTTCAAGATGCCAAAGCCATCAACTATTGATCAAACACCACAGCTCTAAGTCTGCTCTACAAACCCTAAAATGCACATACTTTGTCTGGACTCCTCCCCCAACTGCCAAGTCTATATGTCTGAACCTCAAATCTCAACCCCAACTCCCAAATCCTAAAAGCCTACCTTCCATGGAGTTGGGGCAGTGCAGGATCAAGTGAGTCTATGTGTGAGCCTCAATTTCCCGGGTCTTGCAGTCATAAGTTTTCCAAACCACGACCCAGTTCCCACCGCAGAGTCTGATACTCAGACGATATCTCAACCCTCCGATTCTGACACCCAGCCCCCACTCCCTCTGATACTGAGCTGAATATCTCCAAAATTAGACTCCAGAGCCCCAAATCCAGACACCACGCTCCCTGCCCAGATAACAGCTTGTCACCCACCCAGAGGGTGCCTCCGTGCCAGTGTGTCCCCTATCCTGCACCTCTCCAGGCTGGCCGGCTGCTCTGGGAACAGGAGCTGTACTCACAGCTGGTCTACTCCACTCCCACCCCCTTCTTCCACACCTTTGCCGGAGATGTAAGTGATCAACCAACCCCTGCGCAGCAGTAGGGAGCATGGGGAGGGGGTGCTAAAGGTGTGAGGGGCCTGGAAGGCTGCTGACCCTGAGGCATGTGCAGGACTGCCAAGCGGGCCTGAACTTTGCAGATGAGGGTGAGGCCCAGGCCTTCCGGGCCCTGGTGCAAGAGAAGATACAAAAAAGGAATCAGAGGAAAAGTGGAGGTGAGGAGGCCTTGGGGGTAATAAGGAGGTTGCACAGAGATGAATGTAAAGGTGGCAAACTACAAAAGCCCCATCATGATTTTGGCTCCCCAACAGACAGACGGCAGCTACCCCCACCACCAGCACCAGCCAATGAAGGTGAGTCCTCTAGCACAAGTAGCAATAAAAGGGGCCCTGCCCAAGAACCTGTGGCAGGATGGTGATAGCACTTTCCCCTTTCCATCTATCCAGAGAGAAGAGGGGGGCTCCCACCCTTGCCCTCACACCCAGGTGGAGACCAAGGGGGTGAGTGCTGATTCTGCTTTGTGTCTCTGGATGGATAAGTGGGTGAATGGAGGGGCAAACGGGTAGGTATGTGGATGGATGAGCAGGTTCATGGACGTGTGGCTGGATGAATAAGTGCATAGACAGGTGGCAGATAGATGGCTGAGAGGAGGGGATGAATTTGTGGGACGCTGAAGGCATAAACAGATACATGACTGGGTGTGTAGATGTGTCAGTGAATGGGTTCGAGAATAAATGGATGATATGGGAGATTGCATGAAATAGGAAGTGAGTGAGTGAACAGTGAATAAATGACATAAAATTCCAGTCAGTGAAGAAAGCAATGATTGGATGAAAAATTGGGTCAGTGAATGAATAATTTAACAAATTAATGAGTAAGTGAATGACTGAGTCAATACTTTAAGTGATAAGCACGAATTAAATGGTTATTAATGGTTTATGGGATCCACCCATTTCTACATTGAACCACTTGGACCCCTCACTCATTTTCTCCATGACCCTCTCTCCCCACCCCCCACCCCCAGTCTTCCTGTTTCTTGCCCCTGTACTTGGTTGGTAGGTAAGTGGGTTAATGGTCCAGTCACCTTATTTTCTCCATAGGCCCACAAACTGGCCCACTGTCCTTGGGGCTGGTGACAGTGGACATCCAGAATCCTGACATCACAAGTTCACGATACCGTGGGCTCCCAGCACCTGCTCCTGGCCCAGCTGATAAGAAACGCTCTGGAAAGAAGAAGATCAGCAAAGCAGATATTGGGGCACCCAGTGGATTCAAGTGAGAACCTCTCCCCAGTAGATCTACCAATTCCTGGGGATGAAGGGGGGGGGGCTTATGAAGAGCTGAACAGCTAGGTGGATGGAAGAACTGTCAAATGGATGAGCAGCTGGCTGCAAGGAAGGGACTACAGAGAGGCAAATAAGTCACATACCATGCAAAATTCAAGGAGGCAGTTGCTCTCAGGGTCGTGCAACTGGAATTCATGCCTCAGAGAGTGAGTGCCTCCTTAAATTTTGTAGCCTTGGCACCTGTCTCGTCTTACCTTAGTCCCTTAGTCCCATCCTTGGTAGGCTGGTGGACAAGTGAGGTTGATGGTACAGGAAGTGGATGAGTGGAAGGGTGGATGGATGGGTAGATGAATGAATGAGTAGGTGGGTGGATAGATGGGTAGATGACTTCAGTGGTGGACAGGTAGACGGATGGCTGAGCAGATGAGTGTGTGGACATTATAAGCTGAATGATTCGCAGACAAGGTGGATAGGAAAGGAGAGGTGGTCAGATATGTGGGTGAAGACAGTTCCGTAGATAAGTGAACAGAATGATGTGGTTGAATAGGCAGAAAAATGAGCGGCAGGATGGAAAGGGGGGCATAAGGGTAGATGGATGGGTGGACAGACAAGTGTGTATGAGGACAGATTGGTGGACAAGTGGGCAAATGGTAGGGGTGGCTCATGTGTGGGCTGATGGGGAGGGGCCGATGTCTGTAGAGATCAGTGATGCAAAGGATGGGTGTGAATGGATAGGTGGATAATTGAGTGGGTAGATGGTGGGAAGACAGGTAGACAGATCGACATCAAACCTACAGACCCCTTCTCTTTCTCTTACTGCTCACACTCGTGCACTCATTTAGACTCATTCACTAATTCTGCCGCTCAGGATCTGTTTGAGCAGGAGAGGGTAGGAGGGCTCACTAGGAAGGGAGGAAAGAAAGGGCAGTGGGGCTTCACTGGAGTCTCCTCACCTCCTCCAGACATGTCAGCCACGTGGGGTGGGACCCCCAGAACGGATTTGACGTGAGTAACTCCAAAGTCCCCTGGTACCCACTCAACTTCCACCCACCTTTTCCTAAATCACTGCTCAGAGCCCATATCCAAACCCCATGCTTCCCACATCCCTGGCCAGGATGGACCCAATGACAATTCCTATCCTCTCCCTCCTCACCTTATTCCTTCGCCCCTGCCTGGGTCCTTTTCCGGGGCAGGTGAACAACCTGGACCCGGATCTGCGGAGCCTGTTCTCCAGGGCAGGAATCAGTGAGGCTCAACTCACTGATGCAGAGACCTCCAAACTCATCTACGACTTCATTGAGGACCAGGGCGGGCTGGAGGCTGTGCGGCAGGAGATGAGGCGTCAAGGTGAGGCCCCTTCTCTACACCCGCTTCTTCTCCAGCCCTGAAGCCACCCAGTCCTTGCAGAACCCCCTGTTCTGCTTGAGTGGGGAATTGGTCAGGCGGAGGGACCCATTTTACAAATGAACAGAACTGAAGCTTGCAAGAAAACGACAATAATAGCAGCTGTGTGTTATTTTTCCCCCTACAGAGCCGCCCCCACCGCCATCTCGAGGAGGGAACCAGCCCCCCAGACCACCTCTGGCGGGGGGTAACAAGGGCCGTTCTGGTCCACTACCCCCTGTACCTTTAGGGGGCGCTCCGCCCCCACCCACGCCCCGAGGACCCCCACCCCCAGGCCGAGGGGGCCCTCCACCACCACCCCCTCCAGCCACTGGCCGCTCTGGACCACCGCCCCCTCCGCCCCCTGGAGCTGGGGGGCCAGCCATTCCACCTCCCCCGCCCCCTCCCCCACCGCCACCCCCCAGCTCCGGGGATGGGCCAGTGCCTCCCCCGCCCCCACTTGCTCCGCTGTCTGGGGGTTGCATGGCCTCTGGAGGGGGTCGGGGGGCGCTTTTGGATCAAATCCGGCAGGGAATTCAGCTGAACAAGGTGAGGACCAGCAGAAGGGAGGACTGGGGTCTGGGACTCCGGGGTGTCAGGTGCAAGTCAGCATACAGGGAGGCGGAGGCTGAGACTGATGGGGGTGCCAGGCCTTGGGGTTTAGTGCTAAGCTTGGGAGGTGGGTGGGGAGCCTTGAAAGGGATTGACGTGTGGGAGGAAAAATTACAAAGAAGGGGCGGAAGAAGTACTGAAACTCTCCTTGCTGCAGACTCCCGGGGCCCCAGAGAGCTCAGCCCTGCAGCCGCCACCGCAGACCTCCGAGGGGCTGGTGGGCGCCCTGATGCACGTGATGCAGAAAAGAAGCAGGGCCATCCACTCTTCCGGTGAGCCTGTCAGGCCCAGGCCCTGAACCTGGTTGCCAGGGCTAGCCTTGGCCTGCAAACATCCCAGGCGGTCCCCATCAACAGAAACATTATATACGTCTGTGGGTAACAGTATTGAAGAATCTTAGATCAGTCTCCTTAGTGGTAACATTTAGACAGTATATGACCATAATATAACTCTTACCTTTGACAATAGTATTAATGTAATATTAACTATTATTATCATTAGGGGTGTGCCCATGGCATTAATGCTGTCCTGTATTCAGCCCTATTAACATCAGTATGTGACAATCCTATTTTAAAGAGCACCATCTTCGACACTAACACTAACTTCCTGTACCAACAGTTTATATGAACCCATGATAATAGTAGCTAACTCCATCTTTCTACAATAATGCTAATATTAACCTCCTATTGTGGCAACAATACTATCCTTCACACATTATATGAAGATAATAGTAATTTTAACCTATTACCGGACAATAATACAATTAACTCCAACTTTGACAATAACATTAACCCCAAAGTGTGTCCACAAGATTAACGCGATTCCATTATATGACAGCATTATAACCAGCCTCATCATTTGGCAATATTATCATTAAACTCCATTATGGGTTAAAAAGATTAACATTAACCCACCATTAAGCAAAAATAAATTACCCCACTTTCACTAACAGCATTTACACTTGCCCCTTTAAGTGACAAATGGGTTAACATTAACCTGTTGTGTGACAATATCCCGACTAACCGTGTTTTTTGGAAATGTTTCTTAAAGCGTTATTTTTCAAAATTTTATTGGAAAGGCAGAATTACAGAGAAGGAGTTACAGGGAGGGAGGGAGTGAGAGAGAGAGAATCTTCCATCAACTGGTTCACTCCCCAGATGGCTGCAATAGGTGGGACTGGGCCAGGCCAAAGCCAGGAGCCTGGAAGTCCACTGGGGTCTCCCAGGTGGGAGGCAGGGGCTCAAGCACTTGGGCCATCTTCTGCTGCTTTCCCAGGCACTGGATCAGAAGTGGAGCAGCTGTGGCCGGAGTTGTGGGGTAATGGATAAATATGCTGCCTGTGATACTAGCAGCCTATATCATTCTGGTTTGTATCCCAGCTGCTCCACTGCCGATCCAGCTCCCCATTAATGGCCTGGAAAAGGAACGGAAGATGGCCCAAGTGCTGGGGCCCCTGCCACCTGTGTGTGAGACCTAGATGGAGTCTCAGGCTCCTGGCTTTGGCCATTGCAGCCATCTGGAGAGTGAACCAGCAGATGGAAGTTCGCTCTCGCTCGCTCGCTCGCTCTCTCTCTGCCTTTCAAATAAATAAATACATCTTAAAAAAAAAAATCACTTCTTGGCCTTTTGGCTAAGGTCAAGTGTAGTAAGCAGACAAACAGAAGACCCCAAAACTAAAATGCCAGGCCTCAGACTAACCATATTTTGAACAATACCATATTAATTTCAGCTCCAACTAGAACAGACTTCCCGACTATAACGCCTATCTTGTCCCAACCAGAAACCCTAACTTGACCTTAGGAATACCCCCTCAGCTCTCCAGGGCCTTTGAATTTTCCCCCCAAGCTGAACTCCCTCTGAATCCTTGTCTCCTTTCAGACGAAGGAGAGGACCAGGCCGGCGATGAGGATGAAGACGACGAGTGGGACGACTGAGTCACTGCCCACTCCCTACTCTGCTCTCTACTGCCCCTGCCTCCCGGCCCCGACTCTGCACCCCAGACCCCCAAATCCCATTTCTTCCCTGAACCCTACCTTGACTGCTGTTCTCCCTGCCTGGTCCCCACAATCACCCTCCCAATACCAAGGGCCTTTTTATATATATATAAAAATTCTCAGTCCTCTTCACTCAAGGATTTTTAAGTAAAAAATAAAGTCATTGTCTTTTTGTCTTCCCTAATGTGTTTGATTGCATTTCCAGTGTGGGAATTAGGGGTCCTTTCTCCCCAAAGTCCCTTTAGTGGATCTATCTCATTTTATTTATTTAGCCTCACATGGATATATTCATTGATTTGTTCTTTTACGTCCTCAGCCATTTTGCCTGTATTTCTTTCCATATTTATTTCCAGGCACTACTTCAGGGGCTAGGGATGAAGGAATGAGGAAGAAGTACAGAAAAATAAATTGCTGCCCTCATAGGGTTGGAATCACTCTCCTAGGGCAACAGACAAGAAAGAAAGAACCAAATAGAAATCAAGCAGAGTTACAGACCATGATGAGTGCTGTGGTGCACCATTCAGATGGTAATGGGAAGGTGACACTTGGAGGAGGTGACAGTTGTATTGAACCTAACAAAACAGAGGATGGGCCATTAGAATATTTGGGAGAAAAAGCAGTCTAAACTTTTGGGATAGCCAGTGCAAAGGCCCTGAGATGAGACAAACTTGGTGTGAGGCCAGGTGTGGTGATCATGTGCTTAATTATTTAAAAAAAAAAAAAGCTTTCAGTGAGCACAATACTAGATCAAGAACACACTTGATGACCAAATCTCCCTACTCTCTGTGTGCACAACTCATACAGCAAGAACCTGCTGGGCAGGATGCTCCTCTCAATTGTAAAATTCAGTTCTGTCCAGTTCCTGGTGCAAACCACTAGCCAATTGCAACAGAAGATCACACAGATCTGCTCCAGAACATGAGCAAGCTGCCTCAGGCGCTGAGCCCGTTTCCTCATCTCTAAATGGTGATCATACCATCTAGATAAATGATTCCCACCCCTCCTCATCCTCCTCCTTCTCCTCCAGGACTTTCTCCCTCCCTCCCCCCAAAAAAGGCGTACCTCAAAACTGTCCTTGGGGCATCTGGCCTAGTGGTTACGACACCTGCATCCCACATCCCACATCTGGGTTCCATGTCCAGCTCCCTTCCCGACTCCAGCTTCCTGCTAATGCAGAACCTCCAGAGGCAGTGGCAATGGCTCAAGTGCTTGGGTCCCTGTCACCCATGTGGAAGACCTGGGTGGAGGTTCTGGCTCTTGGCTTCTGCCTGGGCTAGCCTGGCAGTTGCTAGCATCTGGGGAGTACACCAGGGGATAGGAGCTCTGTCTGTCTGGTGCTTACAGCTATTTCCAAGGGAGTAATTCAAAGCTCTGGCATATCACAGCCTAGACTTGAGGCCCCTATGCCTTCCTATTTCTGAAATCTAGGGGGTTCAAGATCTCAAATATTTTCCTTTACAGGAGGAAGAGGAGGGAATAGGGGAGGAAGGGGAAGGGGAACCCAGAGAGGGGAAGCCTCTCTCATCCGCAAGACCAGTGGAAGAATTTCTGAGCCATGGAAGCACGGGTGGCAGTGGGGTGTTGAGGAGGGAGAGAATGAGGGAGGTGGTGGGAGCTGTGAGGGAGGGAGGAGATGGAGGGCAGGGGAGCTAGCTTTGCCCCTTAAGAATTCCCTGAGGACAGGGACATTTGCCCTGAGCTAGAGAAGGAGGCAGTCTCTGGTTTCCTCTAATTTTTTCATTTCTTCACCCCTGTCTCCACTTCCCCACCCCACCCCAGGCAGGCAGATGGACACTTGGTCTAGGGAGGAGGGTCTGTCAGTGTCACTTATTTCCCCCTCCCAGTCCTCCACAGAAACCCTGGAAAATCAGTGTGTTGGGACTTTGTTCTGGAAGAGATCTTCCATCCCACAACCTCTGAACTGCTGTAAGTGCTGGGTACAAGAGTTGACTGTGAGGGGCAGGTGCTTGGCACAAGCAGTCTAGATGTGCCCACACTCAAGGCCAAAGTGCCTGGGTTCGAGACCCAGTCCTGCTTGCTTGAGTTCCTGCCACCCACTTGGGAGACCTAGATCAAGTTCTGGGCTCCTGACCTTGGCCTATCCCAGCCGCAGCTGTTGTAGACATTTGGGGGGTGAATCAGCAGATGGAAGAGCATGCTCTCTCTCTCTGCCTTTCAAATTAAAAAGAAAAAAAAAAAGAACTGTGAACAACTTGCTTGATCCCTCAGGGTCTCAGTTTCCTCAGTCCTTAATATGGGGGTAAAAATATTTTCCTCATGGGACTGCACTGGGAATTAAACCAGGCAATTCTGCCAAGTGTCAGGATCCTTGCAGGCTTCTGGAAATGTCAGGTGCTATTTTCACAGCTGTTGTTGTTGTTGTTATTGTTATTACTGGACTTCAGTGATCCTGAGTCATCATTGACTACAAAATGCACCATTATTTTATGTATTACTAAGAAAGACAAAAAAAAAGTGCTGCCATTTAAATTATGACTCAACCAGTACAGTCATGCATCAATTAAGGATGGGGACATATTCCAAGAAATGCATTGTTAGGTGATTTTCTTGTTGCGTGAACATCATAATGTGTACTTACCCAAACTAAGATGGGTGCAATGTCATTAGGTGACACCATCTTACGGGGACCACTGCACTTGTAAGATGCAGGCTGATTTCAGTTAAATGATTTAGATGCCCTGGCTGATGATTTTTAAAAAAAATATTTTATTTGTTTACTTGAAAGAGTTACAGAGAGGCAGAGGCAGAGAGAGGTCTTCCATCTGCTGGTTCACTCCCCCAGATGGCTGCAATGGCCAGTGCTGGGCTGATCCGAAGCCAGGAGTCAGAAGCTTCTTCCGGGTCTCCCACATGGGTGCAGGGGCCCAAAGACTTGGGCCATCTTCCACTGCTTTTCCAAGCCACAGCAGAGCGCTGGATTGGAAGTGGAACAGCAGGGACTTGAACCTGTGCCCATATGGGATGCCGGCACTGCAGGCAGTGGCTTTACCCGCTATGCCACAACACTAGCCCTGGCTGATGATGTTTTATAGCCCACACTCTGACTCCACATGTATGTTAGCTTGTGAAAAATTCATCACACCAGGCATCTATGGTCATGTGCTTTTATGTATGTGTGCTACACTCCAGTATGAGGTGTGCATGAAAATAGGCCAAATCTGTGCCACTTGCAATGAATAAAACTTGCCTTGGCCTGAACTTTGGGCAGAGCAGGATATACAGTAGGTACTAAATTAAGGCTAAAAGGATAGATGGCTGGAAATAGGGCACAGTCATAATAGGAAAAGCTCTTACCTTTGAGGTCTCCTACAAAGGTGCTAATCCAGAAAGATTCATTTTCCAGATGAGTGGGAAATACCCAAGCTAGAATCACTCACTTGAGGTGGTTCAGGTGAGAAAATTGCCTGTGGCCACACAGTTGAGTGCCTGGCGGAGCCAAGCAGTCAGGTAGCCAGGCTCCAGAACCCAGGCTCTTAAATCTCCTCTCCAGGTCCAGAGGGCCAGCGGTCATGTCTTCCATCACTGTCATGTCCCTGGAGTGGGAGGGCCCTGTCTGCCCAAAGAGACGGGGGTGGGGATATGGGGGGTGGGCACGTGAGAACCAGCATCTACACTCTGTTCTAGAATAGGGCTAGGGGACTGAGGTAGGACTTAGCTAAGCCCTTGACTGTTGAATTCGTGGCAGGCAGGGTAGAATGCCAGACAGGTTAGCCATGTTCCAGCCAGCTCACAGCTGGCCTGGTAGGCAGATGGAATATCTGTTGAATTAACTGCATGACTGTTTGGTGCACTATGTAACACGGGGACTAAGAGGGAGAGGAGCCACAGGAATCAGGCCTGGCCTGAGGGAATGGAGATACCAGATCTGCCACCAACGGTCCACCTCCACTGAATCACGGCACACTCAAGGGCCTGGCTCCATGCTCTGCTGGCTGACCTGTCACCCTCTAGATGCTGAGATCAGTGGGCTACTGACTACGATGAGAGGCAGGTGGAATGGGTCACAGGGCAGCTGGCCAGCAGCAAGACCGACATAGCTGCTTGCCTCGATGGTTCTATGTGGTTATGGACCGTGCGCCCTAACAGGATGCCAGCCTCTCCCAGGGGTCCAGAGAAGCAGAGGGCAGTGACAGGTTTGAAGGACCCATGGTCCGTTGCCTGAGGCTGAGATGAGTCGCCGGGGAAAGGCCAGGCTGGCTGAGCCAATGACAGGTGGCATGGAAACATAATTGTCCCTCTAGTTGCTATGGCTCTGCTCTGGGGCCTAGCTGGGTGGTGTGCGTGGGGTGTAACCAACGGCAGCTTGTCCTGACCTAATCACAGCCTGCCTGCCTGCCTGCCTGAGGCCAAGGCTGGATGCTGGAGCTGATGAGAGGATCTACCTAGGAGCTGGTCCCTGGGCAAGGGCTGCTTGACTGGCCCGCGCCATTGCATTGCGGGGACCGTCTGCGGGAAGGGCAGCCTCGCTAACAGCTGGGTGCCTGCCTCCAGGGAGTCGCAGCTGGCCCAAGGCACAAATGGATGCTGCCATTGACTGACAGAGCATGTGAAGGAGGCGGGGCCTGGCGAGACACCTGCCTGGGGAGACTGACCCATCGCCTATTTGAATAGGACAACTGACTGGGCAGCTGTCCGTGGCGCTGCTCCACGCTGGGTCACGGCCTGCTTGGGGTTAAAATGTGGTGACGGACTGACTGACGGAGGTAATTGGGGGTCTGACAGGACGGAGAATCCCCCGTACGACTGGCTGACAACGTGATTGGCTACCAGCGTGACAGACAGACCGGCGAACGGGCAGGGCCTCGGGCACCCTCAGCTACCGCTACCGCCGCCGCCGCCGCCGCCCAGACGCACTCTGGGAAAGCGCGGCGAGCACCCGCCTCCGGGACCGAGCCGGGTGGCGGGGAGGGGTCCGGTCACGGCTCGCCGGTTGGTCCTCGCCGGTGCTGCTCGCGGGGAGGCGCGGCCAATAGGCTGCGCGTTCCCGGCCACGCCCGCGCGAGCTCTCTTCTCGCGAGGCCGGCTAGGCCCGAATGTCGTTAGCCGTGGGGAAAGATGGCGGAAAATTTAAAAGGTGAAGCAGTGGCGGCAGAGGCGCGGGTTCGCTGGCCGGGCCGGGTGGGCTGGAGGGGTGGCGTCGCGGGCTCGGGGTCCTGGC